TGTGTGTGTGCGTCCATCACTTGCTTTCTTTGTGTTTCTCTTAACACACTCACTGCTGCGGTATAGACTGTTGGAACTTCGATGGGTCATCATAAAAGTATTGACTGTCTTGTAAATGAAGCGTGCCCGAAGCCGAAGTTATTGTGCTTAATATAGCAAAAATTCGGTAAGAGCCGTTTAGCGTGCTTGAGTCCGAAGCGTGTTTTCTGCCCGGCGTGTCTGAAGCCGGCACGGACTGTATCATGCTGGACTAGGGAGTGGGTGGCCGTGGTTCGAATCCAAGACTGGGTAATAGTTCATGGCTTAGTCCTATCAGATAGGGACATTACATTCGGAGATCAGTCTCTTAAATACCCTAACAACTCAGTGTTGATGTAACAGTAAAGTGTATGGGTTTGATTGAATATATATATATATATATATATATATATATATGGAATCCTGTTATAACGAGAGGGAGGGGACCGGTACGAAATGTCCATTATAGCAGGATTCTCGTTGTAAGGGATCCAGTAATAAATTCAAAGGAAATAATAAAGTAAGCCTTAATCTATGAGTTTCAACATGACCTCCAGGTCTTACTTGATCAAAAATTGAATAAGGCTTCTTTCTCTAGCGTTAGCGATGTTGACAGCTCGGCGTTCGCGATCAGAAAGAAAGTTCTTTAGGCTAACTAACTAGCCCTCTGTTTTGTACCCCGCCCTATACGTTCTTATACTTGCGCACGTCACACATTCGCTCCATCCATCACAGCACTGTGACTTCTCCATCCCCGCATCGGAGAAGTGAGAGGCATGATAGGCCTAGATACAGTGGAACTCGGATTCAACGAGATGAGATAGACTCCTCGTTTTTTTTAATTCTTTAAAATCAATCAAAATAGCCCGGATTCAACTAGTACTTAAATTAGCGAACTCGGATTCAACGAGGTCGCTTCCAGGGTGAACAGCCCCTGCAGACGTGGCTTCGCTAATTTTTCTCCCAGAACGAACTTTATCTATTCCCGGATTCCCAGAAACCATCCATTGCACCTGCTTCGTGAACCATTATTCAACTAGCCGATTGTAAACGACCAATCAGCTGCCTTTTTTCATACCAACACATGCGTTGTTGGCGTGCGCACGTGTCTACTCTGGGGTGTGTCGGGGTCGGATGGGCGGCCTGCATGCGTGTCGGGGAAGGGGGGGGGGCAATAGCGGTCCAGGCGTTGAACATTGCAGACACAAACGCGTCAGTCTTTTTTCCCCCTCGGCAACTGATCATTATTACAATGATGAGCTAGTCTTGACGTAGATCTACGTAATGAATTGTGTGCTGGTCTATGGAATCAAAAGTTGCCGTATGCTAGGCTCTACACAGCAACACAACTTTTTGGCAAACAATCGAGATGACACGGACGTGCATTTGAGGGAATCGGTCTTTTTTTCCCCACAGATCATAATATGCAGGCATTTCAGCCACTACTTGTTACTTCTCTTTACACATTACTTGCTCAGTGCCTGTAATTATCTACTCAAAACCTCATATTTGCTATAACGAGAACTTGGATTCAACGAGATTTTAGATCAGGCCCGGCGACCTCGTTGAATCTGTGAGTTCCACTGTATATTTTGATGATTTTAATAAATTTAAAAATGAATCCCTTTTCTTTTGCTGAATTCAAGTTTTCAGTGGTTTTCATTGAATCTGAGTTAGGTCTAGTTGTATAATCCTGTCACTGCACCTATAAAACAAGGTTACAGTATCTCAACAGTGGGTAGTTGAAGGGCATCATTTTTACTTTCCTCACTGTCATTTCCCTCTCTATGTATTACTTTTTGCCAGCACTAAATGACCTTTATTGTGTCAATGTACTTCTCTTTACTCACACAAACAAACATCACAAAGAACTCAGGGCATTGTAGGTAACTTGTGACAGTAATGAATAAAAATCTCAGAGAAACAAGCTTAGCAGCAGAACAAATACAGACACACAACACACCAAACAGCAAGGTACAATGTCCTCAGACCTTTAATTCAAATTGTGTTTTCAAAGTATAGTATAACAATCTCTTACAACACATGATCCAAGAATGTAAGTTATTATGGAGGCTTGCAATATATTGAAACTGCATCGTAGCAAACATAGGTGGCAGGTATGCAATCAGGAAGAGTGTACTTCTGAAAGAGAAGCAGAAAAAGCTGACGATCACCATAGACTTGAATGGCTCAATCCATGGATTGATCATCGGTCTTAACCTGCAGACAGAGTAGAGTCACTTTCCCCTCACCAGCACCTTGCTCGCACCAATTGGGGAAAACTGGAAATCTCACAAGGCATAACAAAGAACGATACTTTCATCTGTGAAGCTTTCAAGAACTTGTCCTCTTATTTCAGGACGCTGGCATCTTGACTCTGATAGGCTGCAAAGAAAATAAAAGACAAGAGAATTTTTTTAAAATACAAAGTCAACAATAAGAGAAAGGTACAATTTTTGGATAGCTTTCTCATTCTGTAAAAGTGGTTTTGATGGCACACAGACACTACATTGTTTCTTCTGTCTTGTTAGGGGAATTAGACAAAGAGCTTCCGTTCAAGTTTAAGACAACAGCTCAATGCTTGCTTAGTTTTAATTTTAGTAAGCGCTTTATGGCACTCGCAACACAATTTGAATTAGGACATAAACGTTCTGAAGATTAGAGCAGAGGTGTTACAAGAGAGTAACAAATACAAAAAAAAAAGGAGGACAGATGTTTGATAGAAAAGGAGCAGCAAACCACAAACGAGCACGCGCCAACTACCCATTTGTTGCTTGCTTTCTTTGTCAGAAAGGGTCTGTTTCGAATACTGAACACTTTGTAGGAGAGCTGCTACATGTATTACTTTAATAGACAGTCATTATTTACAGTACAAGTACAAGAGAAGTATTCTCAGAAGATATTCATAGTCCAAGGAAAAGCAAGACAGATAGACTGACAAAACGCAAAAAAAATTAGGCTTATCATCAGTGGTTCTCTCTAATCACCCTATAATGAGTTGGCAAAACTATTTGAGTCAAGACAAGCACGCCGATACAATAATGGTCATTTAGTGCCAGGAATTGATCAGCACTGGTCTCACTGGCCATAGCAGAAGTCACAAATCATCTTAGTTTTTTTTCTCTTCCATTTTTCTATGAAAGATATTCTCCTTGGCGGGAACACACTTGTCATCATCCATCACATTGGCAGAATATTATCATTATTAGTGAAAGGAAAGACGAAGAGTGAAGAAAAATCTACCACTGGTACCTTCCACCAACCTGAAGTACAGTTCCAACTGTATAAATATAAATTATATACCATGACAAAGAGCAGTAGAAGGAATAGACTTTATAGTTTATAGGAATATTGTAAACAGAAGCTAAGGTCAAATTTCAGCAAACAATTGGACAAAAATTTAATACACTTCACAATATTGCGTGCACTAAAATTTGAAAGAGAGGACATTTCATTCACACAACTGTGACTGTTCCATGTTCATTTTTAGGGTATTTGTGTCAGTTAAATATCACATTTAACATACAGTCATTTAAAAGGTGGATAAGTCAGACCTCTGACAGAACTCCTGGCCCAGAAGAAATGTTCCAATATGAACAAGAAAAATTAAACCCCACTTTATTTGAACTGAATCCAACTTTTGCATGCAGATAGCCACTCCACAGTAGAAGTCTTCTCTGAGTCCCCAAACTCTGAAGAATCACAGAAATAGAGTGGTACTGACCTCCTGAGGCGACTCCATTAAAATAGGTAGATGGTACAAAATCACACTACAAACAAACATGACTGCTGACTTACATGACTGCAGAACGGACATTCCCCAAAAATTGTGTTGAAACTCTGTCGTGACGAAAGGCTTCTAAGCCACTGAAATAAACAAGACAGGAAAATTCCATGCATAAGCCATGAGTTTCACCTGTGATTGTTACTGTAACTGTTTAATGCTCCCATCAACATAGTTTGGATCATTTAGATGGTGAGCTGCTTAATCTTGCCTAACAGGACCAACCTGACGGATACACATGGATGCTCTGTTAAATTTTCCTAACAGCAAAGAGCCACATTGCTGCACCACAGAACTATTTGGTTGGTTTTTTTATTTTAGTTGAGCTACACACTCAGATACAGCAGCACAGCATTCTGGCAACTGAACAGCAATGGGAACAGTCTCACATCACACCTTCTATGAAGCAGTATGCCTGGTGAAAGTAATAATCATTTGCACTCCAATGGATAGCACCAAACTTCATTGAGACTCATTCCAAAACCAAAAAAGTGACAAGTAAAGGGCATTCATGTTAAGATAATAATCCAAGAACTGAAAGACATTAAATGATTAAGCATTATGCTTGCTGAGAGGATTGAACTCCCCTTCAAAACAACCCCCTTCTAAAACCCAAAACCTGCATTGAAAAAAAAAAAACCATAAAAGGATTGTTCAAGAACTAGACTTTGTTGATCAATTCGCTGATGTCAAGGAGTTCAATTTCCCTATAAAGCTTTCCTGCAAGACAAACGGTGTGAACTTAGCTTTTTATTTTAAATACAGAATAAAAAGAACTTGGCAATTTTAAGATTTTAAAATGGGTGACCTTATTTAGGCCACATGTGGCCTAAATAAGCTAAACGCCCCTCCCTTACCTTATTTGGGCCACATATGGCCCAAATAAGCTAAACCCCCCCCTCCCTTACCTTATTTAGGCCACATCATATGGTAGATTTCTTGAACTAACCATGGATTCGCAAGGTCGAGATTCTACTGATCTTTTTATTTAGTGAGGGGGATTATTTCAAAATAGAGGATGGTACTGAATGAAAAGTGGACCAAGGGTAAGAGTTGTGTGTCTGAGTGTGTGTGTGTGTGTGTGTGTGTGTGTGTGTGTGTGTGTGTGTGTGTGTGAGTGTGTGTGTGTATTTGTTTGTTTTGTGTGTGGTTGTGGTGAGAGAGAGATCTAGAGAGAGAGTAAATGTAATAGTGTTTTTGTATGTGTGTGTGTGTGTAATGTGTGAATGTTATTGTGTGCATGAGTACCTATCTCAGTTGTACGGTCCAAATGTACATTATTTTGTTGAGAATTTTACATAGAACTCAACTACAAAACACCTTTATACAAAATCAGAGAAATATTCTTTTTGTGCTTACTGAGGTACAGTACAGGGTTATTTTACCTGCAAGGATAATTTGACAAAATGGGCAATATCTTAATTGCTAATAGTCATATTTAGACAAATCCTATACCATTCTCTTTTTTTTCTTAACTGCTCATGGTTATTAAAGAGTAAGCCAACTAGATCAAGGTAGTAATTTCGGATTCCTAATATTATGGGCATTCTTAAAATTTTAAAACTTGTTTTTAGCGCTTTTCTCAACGTAAAATGGATTCCGTTGAAAAAACAACAACAATGACATTACCTTTCTTTTTCAAAGTATTGTGCATACATTTGTGTGAAACTATGAATATATACATATATATATATGTGGCCTAAATAAGCACTCCCTTTTAAAATGCTGGGAAAAACAAAACTCCTCTTTAAAAAAATAAAACTATTCAGTCTTCACACAATATCAATTTTCACTCACATTTCAGGTCAAGTACCGATTTGCTTGTTGTAACAAGTCATCTTGCATTGGTGACAAAGTGTTAGTTCATGATACCGTTCAATTGAGACAAAAGTAGTGAGAAAAGGATTTTCTTTGCACTTCCAAGAATTGTACCATTCTCCAACAGGAAGCAGCTAATTTAACAATTCACTTACTAGAAAACACAGATACCGTAGAGGACACAATAAAAAAAAAAAATCACAACAGTTAAATTTCAACACTAAAGAGACACGACATTTTTAAAATAAGTTTCTATCTAGATTCTAAAAATGTGTAGCATCTGACACGAAAGCAATATCCCACAGCTTTCCACTGAACTGGACTCCATCTATACTTCACTTCACAGATCTAGGGTGTCAAACACAGAGGACCCAAATTCAATTCCTGTATGGGGAGAGAATTTTAATCAAGTATCTGAGCCTTTCTCCGGGGATGCTGTACCCCTATCAACCTGGGTTGGTCCTGACAGGTGGGTTCAGAAGCTTCCCCCACCCCCCTTCTAACTGATCTGAATAGTGTTGATGAGGACATAAAAACATCAGCTTTGAGAAAAGAAAAAAAAAAGATAAAAACCCTGTGTATCTACACGTACGTAATTGGAATTGAAAATTTCATACCTCATATAAGCAGGACTGGTGGAAGGCCTGAGCACATCGTTTGTCTTCACAGACCACATTAGGAACTTCCTCATTCAGGTGAAGGCAGTAACAAATTCCACAATCCATGCTCAGTTCCTGTACATACAGCAAAACATAACGACTTGTATCTTTATTCTTCTTTTAGTATCCCTGCGAGAGTTCAGGGAGTAACCAACTGTAAGATCTCTATCCAGGGCTGCCTACCTCAAAATTCCCATTTCAGGTAGATTCAGGGTTAGTTTCAGGTAGTTTAGCCCAAAATCAGGTAGTACAAAGACAAAGAAGGAAAAAAAAAGATGATAGTTGCCCCATCGAACGCGCTTGATTTTCGTGATATTGGGTAATTATATTTTGAAAACTTGTTTGTGCATACACGTGTGTGTGTGTGTGTGTACGTATGTGAGTGCGTGCATGCTCAAGCGTGTGTTTATATGTGGGGAGGGGAAGGGGGTGTTTGGGTGCGAAGAAGTTAAGATTAAGAGAGTGTATGAAATGTGGAGAGTTTAGTTTTTTTTAAAACATTTATATTATGGACTATCGTTCAAGGCACCTGTCATTCAGTATTGAATCTGGAATTGAGTGCAGGGTGACTGCCAAACTGACTTCAAAACCCCTAGCCCACACAAATAGAAACTACATTCAAACATATTTTCCGACACTAGCATAGGACACTGATGTCTTTTGTGACTTAAATATCATAGACAATTTGAACTAGTTTTGCCCTAAAAATACAACATGAATCCTGATCTGGGCCTGAGGAGAGGCAAGAAGAACATCAACTGCCAAAACCATGTTTGGTTTCAGCAATCACGGATTTTAAAAAGCATGCAAAACAAAACTTATTTATAAAACCTTTATAGTTAGGCTTACGGTAGAGCAAAAAGTGAAATTAAAAGAGAGTGTGTACTGACAGCCGGAGCTGGAAGGACAGTAGTAGTATAGGGTTTTACGGCGCTCGCAACTGCTAAGGTCATATGAGCGCGCGAAACACAAGTTGTTTACTTTCGCAAAAGTTCACTCCACGACTGGTCAGCTAATTGGCTTTAAAATGCTAAAATGTTAAAATATTAAAATTTAGTGTAAATACATTTGTGATTTAAAACAACTCTTTTAAGTAACAATAAAATTTTAAAATAATATCAAATTCACTCTACAACTCGCCATAAAGGCCAATGGCCTTTATAAAATTTTAAATTCTGCTGGGAGCAACGACGGAAAAAATATCCTGCAATTTCTTGCATTTATAATATTTCCTTCGGATCTCTCCAAAGTCCAGACATTCTGTTAAGATGTGTCTAATGGTAAAATCTGTGTCGCATCCGACACAGAACCGCTTCTCATCTCCCTGTAGGAGGTATTTGTGGGTCAGGGCCGTGTGTCCGATGCGCAATCGAGTAAAAATGACTTCGTCTCTTCTGGAGAGGTCCGAAGGATTTCGCTGTTCTAGTTTGGGTTTAATTTCATATAATTTATTATTTTTCTGCTTTTCCCAGTGGCTCTCCCACAGACTGGAGGTGTACTTTTTGCCTTTATTTCTAAAGTCAGTCTGTGGGAGAGTGTTTGTCATTGATCCCAGCAGAAGGGATGAAGCTTTCTTCGCCAGGTCGTCTACCTGCTCGTTTCCTCGGATGCCCACATGGCTGGGTATCCATGGGAACATGACGTTTTTTCCTGTTTCGGATAGTGTATGAATTTTCTGTTGTAGCCTAACTATTTTTGGATGTAGGAGTGTGTAGTTTGTGAGTGAGGTGATGCAAGACAGAGAGTCAGAAAGGATGAGGAAAGATTTGTTAGGAGTTACAGTGAGAGTGTGGGATGTAGTGATGTTGAAAACCTGGCAATCAGTGAATCACTGCATCATAGACTAAGTATTGATTTTTTTCAAAATGCTAAATCACAGTACCAGTATTTAATCAGCAATAAGCCATCATGATGCATAGGCATCCAACATAGAGCTTTCCGAGGGTTGAAAATGGCATTTCCTCATCACTATTCAATTTGTCATCATTGGTAAATCCGACAAATCCAGGAACACCAACCTTGAAGATACAATCATCAAGCTTGTGCTCTAATGTTCCCACATTTACGCACTTGATTGTCGAATGGCAAAACCATTTCCACTTATCGTTTTTATTTTAGAATCTGTTTCTTGCACCGCGGCCTCATCCTGCTGCCGTAGATTTTATTGTGTCAATTCTGAAGCCCCGCAATGCTCCAACTTTGAATAAACTTCAATTACCCCAACAACCGACGGCCGTCCCTTACTCATGCTGTACCCACACGATGCCAACGCCTACTACTGTAGGTTCATTGACCGGTCATGATGACGGGCCCGACAATCTAGAAATCGGAGGATGCTAGTTTTCTTTTTTGTCATTATAGTGACAGCAGTGAGAATATCAATTTAATTTGTATGGCGACACTGTGTTTTTTTGCGCACAAACTGCACGTTACAAATTTTTATTAACTGTAACTGTAAATCTAACGTTACGTCAAACTATCACCAGACAATAATCTGAGTGGTTACGAAAGTGAAAGTAGATTTTGATTTTTCCGATGGAGTCTCAGTATCTGTATTAAAACTTACACTTCTGCCAGCCGCCATAGCCGCTTCTTCGCGTGTAACGTACTCTCAGACGGGGGAACGCCGAACGTAATACATGTATCACAAACGCAACCGGTAAAATATGAACTCAGTAGCCTTTTCAGATTTGGTTTTGAATTAAACGGACAGATATTCCAGCCGCAGCAAAAAACCCGAAGATAGACACAAAGAATGAATGGATGAAAGGAAGGAGGAAGATTATCTATTCTCAGTAGACATTTTAGCCGATATGCACGTGAAAAACTATTGCCGACCGAACGGCACAGATAGACAATGGTCGAGTGTACGAAATGCGCAATCTGGCTGTTTCTAATACAACTTATTGCCGAGAGTTGCCGTAAATATCTGACAAGTTACGGAGGCAAGTGCTGATCTCTCTCTCTCTAACGCATGGGGTTGATATGATGATGCTGCAAGTACGGAACTTTCGGAATGTACGGATAGACACAAAAACAAAGAAGATTGGAAGCACTGCAGATCGAGTTTTTTTCTTCTTTTTCTTCTTTCGGCACCCATCGAAAATACGGTAGTTTTGACACCTTATCGATATGTCGGTAGAACAGGCCCAAAATCGGTATCTACTGAAAAAATCGGTAGATTTAGGTCGCCCTGTCTATCTCATATTGCAGTTGACTGTAGATACATGGTCGTTTGATCTACACATAAAGAAAAATCACCCCTTGTCTGAAAGGCAGCTACAGGCTGTTTTCGAAGGTACTCTTAATATTTATACTGACAAGAGTAGCTTTGGTTTCATTAAAAATATCATCTTTGCAGACATGGTCACAAAGCTGGTGAATATGTTGTACTACTTTTCAGTAAATGTGTCAGGACGTGGAGGAAACAGGTGCTTCTCAATTTTTGGGCATGTGGAGTTATTGGTATCATCTTAAAGCTTGTTCGCTTGTCTTGCTATAGGTGCAAAAAACGCCCTTATATCTTGAATAGAAGTCAAGACATTTTAAATCAAAGAAGGTGGGGTTGCCTGGTGTCAAAGGTAGAATTAGTGAGAAAATGGCTACAAAAGTTCGGTTATTTCCATAGCGTGATAGTCTGTAGAAACGGAAAGCTCATACTTTTTTAGCCTTTAACTTTAATCAACGTCTTTCAGTAAAATCCATTCAGAAAAGTGTTCTTAATTGGACAACAATGATGTTAAGCTAAAAAACAAAATTTGATAAAAATAGCCCAACTGGCAGAAAATTGCCAGTGAAAATTGCCAGTTTCTTCAATTTCATTATTTTGATGAGCGCCTGAATTCACCACGCTGCCTCACATATGAAAAAGCAAATCTGATATTATCACATAAAGAAAAACTGATGGAATCCTCTGAATTCAATTCTGGGAGAAAGAAAACTTGTGGGAAAATAGTGTTAACTGTTAATTAAGCGTCCATTGAACTGATTCATTCTGCTTCTTTTCCGAAGACAAGTTTTTTTTACTCTTTGGATACAAATGTAACTTTTCTAAAAACATCCCACAGAAGATTGACACTTTTCCTAAAACTAAAATGCGGATCGCGGCATGGCCTTGCAGGATCGAGAGCTGCAAATTACAGCTCGAGTGGCTCACTATAGAAGTACACGTAATGAAAAAAACATGAAATTCTCGGCCGATCCACGTTTTCGAAATAATAGAATTGACTTCCTGTTAGCGGATATGAAAGAAAAGCGCTGAAATGACTAAAAAAACTGACAGACGATTTTTAGTAATTTCAGCGCTTTCTTCTGTCCCCTTTAAAATGTAAAAATGACCAGAAAAGTTCTCCCCTGATTTCAGTATATACTTTATATACCTCATATTTTTACTTCTATAATTAATAAGTACACATACATAACTTCAGCCTTCCTTTGCATTACCTGAGGCAAACTACCTGGGAATTTTGAAAGATGCTGTTGTTTTACTTTAGTTATGACCTTTCAAAGCTGGAAAATTGTTGATTTCATACGACACCTTCGATATTGCGCAATCACTTTTAGAAACCCTAAACTAATATAATTGGAATAAATTTTCAATTTTGTACCACCACCTGATAGATTATTTTTTAACCTCCAGTTTGATGGGCCGTATGATATGGTTTGTGTGTGTTTAGTTGGATGTTTTGACATTTTCCTTTGGTGGGGTAGGGGCATAGAAATAGGTATAGGAAAAGCCCTGGGCTTGTGGTGGATTTTGGCCTGGTAGGAATAGTTAAGTGAGAAAAACTTGTATTCTATAGTGAGTTATTTACAATAAAAGCATCATTATGACACAGATAAAGGCATTAGTGTTCCTGAAGGAAAAATAAAAGGATCAAGCCACATTACAGTAAAACATCAATAAATTTGACTCACTGTTCGACTGGTATCCGCTGGAGATGGAAAATCGAAATCCAATACTTCTTGTAAGTTATTCAGCAATGAACGTTCCACATCCCTGTTGAACAACAATATAACTTATAAGTAAAACACATAATATTTCAAGAACAAATGACACAATATTGAATCTATGAATAATAAGTATGACAGATGATTTTAAAACGCAAAAACATCCTATCTATACTTGCAGAAAATTTATAAATTAGTTCATGAAGACACACAAACATGTGTGATATAGTGTTTGAATCGTAACATGAGTTTGCAGGTTTGGAAGTTCGCAGCTCAGCCCAGCCTGACAGAGTGTCTATGGGAAAGGCACTTTACACTTATTTTCTTCCCTTCACCCAGGTGTGGGTGGATACCCAGCCATTTAATGAAAAATCTAGTTGGTAAGTTATTATTTAAGCGACTGTGGGAACTTGGACTGCATGCTTCCCAAGAAGTTGAGATTGTTTGAGAATTCTATTAGGTTTGCTGGGGTAATAATATAAATTATAGAGAACACAGAGCTTGCAGCTGAGCAGAAATTTGCTCTACAAAAATGCTTTTTAATATTATCATAAAATAAAAAGTCAATAGTAAATTTGACATACAAATAGCTGTTTATTGCCTTAGAAAGGCAACACATTTCATTACAAAGTAAATTTATTCTTCCCCGAGTTCACACAATGATGTTGCTTGACAAACCACTTCTCAACTAGAAAGTGCTGTTCGGTGGAGTAATATGATAATAAATAATACTTAATAATAATTAATATTAATAATAATAATAATAGTAGTAATAATTGTATTAATATTAGTAAAATAGTAATGATATTATAGATAATAATTGTTTGCATTTATACAGCTAGAGCATACCTCTCAATGCGCTTTCCATTTATTATTGACCCAACAGACACCATTCCATTCTGAAACATTCAACTTCTTGGGAATGTGCGCTAAACACAAATCTGGGCTGAAGTGAGAGCCAAAATAGTGTACACTCCATTTGGCCCCAATCATAGCCAAAAAAAACCCAACCCAAAAACCCAGCAAAGTAATCTGTCTCAAGAATAAAAATATTCAGTATTCTGGCCACTGGAAAGAGCAAATCGAGAACATCTTTTTCAGACACAAAAGCTGCAGAACAAAAACAAAATGATAGAACTTACCATCGAAGAAGGTTGACGTTCAATTTTTCTCTGAGTGGGGCAGTTGCTGTAAGAAGCAAAATATCATCATAGTAAGGAATTGCAAAAATCTAAAGAAAAATAAACAAAAGCATCGTGTGTGCTATAATCAGAAAATAATACATTGTTAAGTTATAGGATAATTTACAGTCGCACATTCGAACCATGAAAGGAAGTTCATAAGAGGACAAAACTAAAGTGAAAGAGGCAAGTTCTCAATTTCGATTCTAACTTCGACGCAGTGGGAACTCGGACAAAAACCGTAAATGTGGGCAGACAGTTTCATTGCCCTCCTTATCAAATAAAGCAACAGACAAAGCGTGCAGCCAAACCTTCCAAATCTTCTAAAAACTTCAACAGAGCTGAAATCAGACACGAAGCTGACAGTTTCAATAAATGACAAGACATTAACAGATCAGACCAGCCAACCCTATTGGTATCTCACATTTCTCAAAACAAGTCGTAAATATGCAAAAACTATGAGTAAATAGTATTTTTAGACAATCATACATACCTGATTCAGCACCTAGAAACCGACACTCTGGTAAGGTTGAGGGCTGTTGGCAGTTGACAGTTATGTGCAGAGACAAGTTTTGTCCTGTAAGGAAATAGAGGCAGAAAGTCAGTCTATCAGTGAATCAACTTGAAATAGTCAACAAAATCTTGGAATTTAGGCACTAGTATAACCTCATTGTATAGCAAGTGCTGTAAAACTCTTACTAAAATAAATTTTTAAAGTCCTGAAATTAAGCTACACGTCTGTAAATGAGAGGGAACACCTTGTCGTGACTTCTTTCCTCCACATTATTTGTGTATTTATAGTTTGCATAATTTTGCATTAAAATCATTTCAGCTCATAATCATGATATGACTCTTTATTTTAAAAATGTGTATACATCATTGTGAAGCCGATTCATACCAACATAACTATACTGTTGTCTATTCTTTAAAGTATGAAAAATAAAACCGTGATCACGAACCCAATGCAATGCGCCTGTGTGTTGCGGAAAAGCTGGGATGTTCAGGTTCAAGCACCCAACATTTCTCATCAATTTCCTTCAGAGTGTTCCAGAAGTTTTGGTAGGACAGGACTGTGGCTTCAAACTGCTCCACAACATGCTTGAGTCTTGTCTGCAAAGACAGAGAACCATTAACTAATTAGTTTGCTTCAGTAAGGATATGGGCAGATGGAAACCAGAATTTTGCACACTACATTTTTTTGTATTTTTCAGTGAACAAAAAATTTAAGGCATTAATAAATTTATAGACAAATGAAATAGAAAAAGGACTACACACTCAGAATTAGATACTGATAATAAACAAATTTTGTTGAAAAGATTTTAAATAGACCTGCAAAAGTATATCCAAACTTAAGCTGTGGTCAACAAAAATGTAAGCTAAAAATAAAATGGAACCAAGAACAAAATATAGACTCCATATTAGTTTTTTAATACTTTAAGAGTAGAAAAAAAATATTACAAATTCCATTCTAAAATTGAAAAACTTTTATGATATGTAGTCAATGCTGTTATGCCATTTCATTAAAAATTTCACTGACACAGAGGACGCAGCAAAAATCTACAACTGATTTGATATACAATGGTTTCTTTTGGAGACAGGCTAAATTCAGAGGTCACGACTCTTAAAGAACCGAAGAGTGTTGATAGGGACGCTAACCCATACACTTACATTTATTAAGCTTAAACAAGGAATCAAATAATGGATTCTTAGAGCTTGTCTCCTTATGCGCGGGGCGACGTTACATGGCGCCTGGTCCTTATCGCTCTAAAATCAATAAAGTAACGATCATACAGAAACTGTCTCCTCAAAATTTAACGCGACTGTCACATCCGACCGGTCCATGTAGCGATCGAGAATCTCGTCGCGTGAGACAGACCTGGGGGTCTTGCAGGTTTATAGCATCACCCTTGATCAAAATACCTAGCCAAGGTGTGCCCACGGTTGACACGCCGTGCGCGGGGAGTGTGTGTGTATGTGTGCATGTGTGTCGGTGAAGGCAAAGCTCGAGGCTATGAGCAAAAAATAACTTGCTACTGTCTCTCTGTTGTGAATTGTCAGTCGCGCACAGGATTTACCAGCCAAGCGCGACCTAACGTTGCGTCGCGCATAAGGAGACACTTTTGTCGCTTCTGTCCCACACGACTGAATATTTGGGCACGACGTAGTCGTGCATAAGGATACACACCTCGCAACTGATCGCAAGAGACTAAACGTCGCGCCGCACATAAGGATACATAGGCTAAATCAACAAAGAAAATGGAAAAGAGAATGATAGTCGTACGTTTGTTGCCCAATTAAATTCAAGCTTGTGCGGAAGATCTGTGATGCATACTGGAACTGCTGTTGTGCTCTGATGGAAAAATAAGAGTACAGGTATCAGTAGTATTCCAAAGAAAAAAAATAATGTACAACCATAATTATTAGGGATAAAGCTCATTTCATGGCAGGGTCAGTTTCACATCTGTGCCAAGCAATTCGTTTTTTCTGGCCTACAGACCTATTTGGACACTCACTTTGACTTTAAGGACTACTGTTTTGATTGCATTTTATTTTAATTTATCATGTGGTCATACTATCCCCCCCCCCCTCCCCCCAAAAAAGAAAGAAACTAGAAAAAAAAGGATTATGAAAAATAGAATGAAACTAAAATCAATCATGACAGAAATTATGTTCGCACAAGGCTGAAGTGAGAAACGAAACAAGAGATGAGACACATATCAACAAATCATTGTGGATTGGCACAGTCATGGTAGTAATCTACATCAATGATACGTCAAGAATTTGAAAGCAGAAATGAGTAAACTGTTTTAAGTGACAAATGAAAATCATTTGTACAATTAAGAAAAAAAAAGACAGGACTTTTGCACCAACTCTGAAGTCTGTTTATTTCTTGTTTCATTTCTTTTTTTTTTAAGAGGGAGGGGGAAAAAATGACCTTATAGAAAAGTTTGAAACCAATAAACTGAAATTCTAAAGTCAGAGATGTCCCTTGACATTACTCAGTAGAAATTACCCCATGTTTCTACTGCTTAGGAAGATCCTCATATTAATACACACAGAGGTAAAGGTGAAAAATGTCAATGTTTCTTTAAAAATTGTTCCAATATCTGTACACTGTGTGAGAAACAATACTGTGAAAACAATTGAGAAAGTAGAGACAGCGAAAGCAGGACATGAAAGGAAGACAATATGCAAATCACTATAGAAATATCATTTTTAGGCAGACTTTGACTGAAGACATAAACCAGGGTGGTTACATTTGATACCTGAGTCTTGAGATGGATTTTGATTTTATGTAGTCTCCCGCCTTCATCTGTTATACCGATCTGAACAGCTGAGAAGTCTTCATCAATGCTAAGTAATCTGACAGGAGATAAAACAAAAACCAAACTGAACTGCAATGAACTGTTAATTAAAAATGAAAATCTTAATTAAAAATGAAAATCAGATAAAAACCAATTTCGATACGCATGTACTTAAATAACCTCATTTTTAAAAATCTCCTGCGCGGATTGGAAAGAAGATATGAAATTTAAAAGATAACTTTATATGGGCAAATTGATACTGTGAGGTTATTTCCAGTGTGTGAGCCTATAGTGCCCTCAGAATAGCTCACCCTTTGCTTGTATGAAAGGATGAAGGTGTGCAGTACAACCTGTACACTATAATAGTTCCTAACATAAATACCCATCAGCCTTTCGCCACCGAAACAAGTACAGTGGAATCCTGTTATAACGAGAGGGAGGGGACTTTTGCGAAATGTCTGTTATAGCAGGATTCTCGTTATAAGTGACCCAGTAATAAATTCAATGGAAATAAATAAGTAGGCCTAATCTATGAGTATGGTGTTCTGTTTATTTCTTTTTGTTATCTCCCCTGAGGATGAGTTTGTTTCAACATGACCTCTAGGTCATAGGCCTACTTGATCAAAAATCGAATCAGGTTTCTTTCTCTAGCGTTAGTGATGTTGACAGCTCGGTGTAGGCGAAAGAAAGGGCTCTGTGTTGTCCCCCACCCCACCACATCCTGTGGTGCGTTCCGTCTGCTTGCGCACGTCACACACTCGTTCCGTCCGTCACATTGCTGTGACCTCTCCATCCCCGCATCGGAGAAGAGAGGCATGGTAGGCCTGGATAATCTAGACTAGGCTGGCCTATCACGCGATGTGTTCTGCTTGTCTGCGCAAGCCACACCCTCCCCATTCATTCGCTCCGGCCTTCACTGTTGGCACACATGGGCTCCCCCATTCTTTGTTTCACTAGTTCACCAACAAGCTTCTCAACTTGCGAGGTTTTACATTATGCATAATTGGCCTATACGCTGTGCACAGCAGCAGCAATATTCCGCTATAACTGACTCGCGTGTTAGTCTGATTGCGCTATGGCAGTATTTTATTTACAAAGATAAAGAAGAGAAAAAAAAAGGGGTTTTAGAATAGTGTCTTTATAACAGACTTCTCGCTATTTCAGGACTCGTTATGGGTGGACTCCACTGTAATCTGATTCCAAAAATGGATGACTCAACCATAAGTATGAAAGAATGTTTGAGCTTGTGATTGTGAAGCAGATGTCTGAAAAGACATCTGCATAAATATGTTATTTAAAGGGAGCATAATTCTGACCACATGTGCAACAGTGGGACATCACCTGAGAAAAATAGTTGTAAGAACGCAACTTAACCTTTTAAGGCGCTGAGCTAGAGTCATTATCTTGACGCTGTTGTCGGTATAAATAGTTTTCTCCAAAATGAAAATACTGTACTCACACTGATTGTTGAACTCTGAACCTCCAAACTTTATTAGCATTTCCTCCACTGTGTTCACACATTTCATTACTGTACAGCCCAGGCAACTGAGCGTACCTGTATGTATAAGCTGCACTCACTAAATCTTATTAAATCCTGAACTTTTCTTCACAAGTAAGCCTCACTGTTTAATAAGAAGCAGTACATTATACAACACAGATATGTCTGTTTGACAGCGTTTTTATGATTAAGCTAAGGTGTGGTGGAGAGGAAAATATGTCAACTTTTAATGTTTTAGATATATGCTACGAATGGACAAGGGAGTGACGCTCCTGCAGTCGCGACAATTTGCAATTAAGCTGCGTCACTGTTTAAATCGCATGATTTAAAGCTGAGGAAAAGAGTCATGGCCCAAACTTTACCGTAAACTAAAATTTTTTTTGTGTCACCTTGATATCTTTCACAGATCCACTGCACTAGAATTCATAAAATGCTCCTAGTGAATTAAAAAATGAAATGAAAACAGTCGAGTAAGCATACAACAAAATAGGCAGGGCACAGAAATCTTTAAGTTATGTACATGTATTTCACAATGAATGCATTTTAAATATATAAAGAATACATGCATAAGAAAAAAATTCGGGACCTGGAAAGGTGTTCGCTGTGTGTGTGATTCGCTAAATGCATGCTTGCTATGGGCTTACTAGTTTGGGTTTTTTTCCCCTCCCCTGACACATGAGGCATAGTGCACTGATAAAAGATTCCAATCATCCTACTTACTTGTTGCTGTCAATTTCCAGAACTTGTTCCACAATTTCTTCATTCCAGTCAGACCACATAGCATCGCTATGAACATGCTGCATACAGGTTTCCTTTAGAAAAGTGAGGAGAAAAATAAAAATAGCCCAATCAATTAATTGTGTAAACACGCCAATTTCAATATCATAAAATTGTCTGAAAATAATACTATATCAAGCTATTTTACAGCATTAAAAGAATTAATAATGATTACAACTGGTAGCAAAGCAGAGGAAAAAAACAGCTAGTCTTTGATCAAAGAACAAACCGCCATTCTCCTTTATAAACTTCTCGAAAGTGAAAAAAACCCCCAAAGTACACATTTTCAACTGTTTAGAATCTAATGTTGAAGCAACTATTTGGATAGAGGTTATCAGGCTGAAAGTTATTAAATTTATAGGATGTGCTGTGTGATGTCCGTCAGATTTTAAGGGGAAAAAAACACAACCACATTTTCAGAGATAGCTGTTTAGAATCCAGCAGTGATGATCTAATAATATTATAAATAATACTATTCATTAATAAAAGAAAACAAAAACAAAAGAAATATTGAAGAAAGTTTGTTTGAACATTTACAAATGAAGCCTAATATTGAGAATATTTATTTTTCCTTGCATATAAACCCTGCTGTAACCAACTTAATAAAACCCAAGAGGCAGAACTTACAGCAATCAGAATGAATTCCTTCAAGAATGTTGCTAGACTGCTTGAAGACTGAAGCCTCTGGAAAAGGAATTAGTTTAAAAAAGTTAACTATGATCCAGTTAAACATTGTGTCAGAAAGTTATGAAAGGTATAGATATTCATATCATTTTATTTGGTGTTAAATAATTACAGATATATACATACACACAGTCTAAGATACACATATATAAATTGGCAGGACATGGAAATCTTGCCTATTGTGTGAATTCCGCCATGCATGTATTCTCAATACAAAGAACATATACGGCACGGCATAACAAAAATTTTGGAACCTGAAAAATCTATTTGCTATGTGTCCGTGTTTGCTAATGTATAAAGCACTATATATACAAGTAGTAATTCATTTTTCATACAATAGTTACAGCAGTTGAACCTGTTCTAATGGCAATCTGTATAAAAGACAATCAACAGTACAAAGAGCCTCTCCCTATTCCCCCCCCTCCCTTGCTTTTGGTTACCTTAGGATGACACTGTGTAAGACTCCCACTTGTCTAATATGGACACTTTTCCCATTGACAATAAGTCTTAGAAATTTCGAATGAATGTATATATCATGTACTATGGCACGAAAAAGTAGTCTTGAAAATACTCAGTCTGACCCTGCTTACTTGACAAGAAAAAGTAGAAAAACATTAGATTTGTTTATTTTTATTGCTAAAACAACATATTACAAAATATCTGATCTCAAACAATTAACTTTAACAAAAATATTATACATAAGAAGTATAAAACACTCACAAATTGCATTCACTGATCATGTACACTTTTTAAAAGACTACAAATTACAAGATAATTTTCTTTTTAATAAAGTAAAAGCATATAGGGCAATAAATACTTTTTAAAAAATACTTTAAATATCAATAAAAGCTCAATATTATTACATCTGGTAACATCATCAAAAGTACCTGTCTAATTAAATCGGACTTGTCTCGAATTCGATGCTCCAGCTTCCACTCACACTCGATGCGGGCCTTGGAAAGTACTTCAGGAACATGAATTGCCATGTAGTATGGTTTTCCCTGTGAACAGTCTCAAGAGAATTACAAACTTGGAAAGATATCATAAAAACAATTTATAATTAATAAACTGATATTTTCAATTTAGTGTAGATTGTATCTCCTCTGGAAAATGACAAGACAGTAATTTATAATTCGAAGTGATTATTCGGACTCGAGTCCGAATATGAAAAAATGTTATTCGGACTCTGATTCTTGTCCAGCATGACATCACTTCCAACTTCCTGTGACTCGTGACTCCGGCTTCTTGTCCTGCCTCACTCGTGACTCGCCCCAGGCTGGGTAGAGACCGGGATCACTTCGGGCAAAAAGGCGTTTTGTGCAGGAGCCGAGTTTTAATCTTACGATGAATTTGAGGCCGGCCTAAAAAGTTATAGCGCTTCTAATAAATGTTTATTTGTCAAGAGGTCATCAGAAACAATTAAAGATGGCTCGTTAGCGTGTGTCGGGGTCGGATGGGCGGCCTGCACACGTGTGGCAGTGTGCGTGTCGGGGAGGGGGGTGGGGGCACTATCGGTCCGGGCGTTGAACGTCGCATATGCGTCAGTCTCCCCCCCCCCCCCCCCCCCGACACGCACACTGTCCCCCCCGCAACTGATCATTATTACACTAATATTAATAAGCTAGTCTTGACGTGGATCTACGTAATGAATTGTGCGCTGGTCTATGGAATCAAAAGTTGACGTATGCTCAGCTCTACACAGCAACACAACTTTTTCTGGATAAACAGCTCATAATATGCAGGTGCCAGGTGGTCTGCTAATCTTCAATTTCACCTTTTTCTACAACAAAGAAAGTGGGAAACATGGGGGGGGGGGGGGGGGGGCGTATCAATGAGGCGGCGGGCATCGGATCGGCAGAAAAGGTGTGTGTGGGGGAGGGGGGGGGGACTAAAAAATGGCGGAAAATTGGAAGCACTGAACGTTAGAGCTATAGAACGAAGACACTTCCTTTTTTCCGGACCCGAGTCCGAATAACATTTTTTCATATTCAGACTCGAGTCCGAATAAGAATTTTTTTAATTCGGACTCGAGTCCGAATATGAAAAAATGTTATTCGGACTCGAGTCCGATTAACGACGGCCTTTATAATTACACTACGAACATCCAAACCAAACTTACAGTGTCCCAAGTATTTTTTAAGGTTTTGGTCTGTTTTACAGGCATGCACAGACTTACAATGTGAGTAATCAAGGTTTCAGTACAGAAAACAGCTACACATATTTCATAAAATCTCTACTGTACTGAGTACGCAAAATTAAAGTTAACGAAAGCTTAATTTTAGCTTGCAAGTGTGCAAGTAGTTTATTATAAAGGATCATCTATTGTAAAATTATAAAAAACAGAGAGTGAAGAGAGTTTGCAGGCATTATTCTGGTCTTGGCCTCGACTAATTATCCAATCTACGGAGTAGTCTCCGCCTAAGATCCTGGAGCGTGGGAGTTTAAAAGGCAGACTCTTAGGAGAACGTGATCTTCACCAACTCACCGCCGGGGATATTCCATAAGACTCATGGTCAGGCCTAAAATCTGCAAAATATTCTCGCCTTGCCTTACCCTGAAATGTACTGAGATGATCCGCGGCTGAGTTTATTACACACTTATGGTGAGAAAAGAGTGGTCAACCTTGATGACCAATCACTCTATAGCATAAAAGGCATGGAATTTTCACTCATCAAATCTTGAGTCTCAAGATCCACACTCGCAGTCTAGCCGTACTTATTCTTAATATGATGGCTAGACTGACCATTTACCAAAAATAGGCCTACATTTTTAGTGTGCAGTACCTAAAGTATTTGTATTTGAGACGAAACCAGGTGCCTTAATGACAGTGCATGTATTTTAAACCTCCTGTTTTCTAATGTTAATAGGGCCTAAGATAAGTACGGCTAGCCTTAAGTACGGGTAGACTTCTTGTCTAGCCGTACTTAAGTACGGGTAGACAGCCAGGCTAGCCGTACTTAAGGACGGCTAGACTGTCAGGCTAGCCGTACTTAATTTTGATGGCTGAATTGTAAATGAAATTTTTAGTTTGCAATGCCTAAAGTATTTGTATTTTAGACAAAACCAAAAGGTGCCTTACTGACTTGCATGTATTTGAACCTGAATAATTACTAGATCTAGATCTAGATCTAATTATGAGACCTGTGTACTTAACAGGCTTGAGTCGATAGGGTCAAACCTAGATCTAAGTACGGCTAGACTGGCAGTCTAGCCGTACTTAAGTACGGTTAGACTCTCAGTCTAGCCGTACTTAAGGCTAGCCACTTCGTAATTTTAATGGCTCCTCCCCTTTAAATGTCCAAAATTTATAGCTTTCCATCTGTGACTGAGTTCTCCTGCTGCCTCTGCCATTATAACGCACCCATTGCATTGTGACAGCACTAATCTTATTGGTAGCGCCAATTGCCACCGAGTGACACTGTGGCAATTGACAAAAATTGACTGGTAGTGTCAGTTGCCACCGAGTGACGCGGTGGCAATTGACAAAAATTGACTTTTTGTCAATTTCCACCGAGTAAATTGGAGCTCTTTCGCGTTGGTGGGTAGATCTAGCTTATTGTGCTCGAGTGCTCGGTGTTGTGCGTTCGCCTCTCTGTCCGTCTGTGTGTGTGTGTGTGACACTACCAATCTTATTTTACTTTTCCGATCCAGTGGCCATCTGGGTACTAGAGGTCTAGATCTAGATCTAGATCTAGATCTAGATATAGGTCTAGCCCTTCAACCTGATACAGCACCAATCAAAAATCAATCTTTGTCTAACAAATTGGGATGCAGAGACAACAACTGAACCTGCTATAGATCTAGAATCTATATCTAGATCTAGAATTCTAGTGGTCAGAAAAACGAAAGCTTTGGAAAGTTCAAAATTCGATTAAATTCATGATGTCATCTGACGCGGTCTTGTATGTAGGCCCTATCCCTACCCAGATTGTCATGAAAGTTCAGGCGAAGCCCTCCGGTGTTTGATTGTCACACCTCAGTGTGATCCCATCCATCTGATTGTGTGGTCTCATCAAGATTTATCATTCATGATCATGTTCACGGGAGTGGATCAACTTATCAAGACAAAATTGTAACTTCTTAAAGTCCCAGCTTTTTTACTAGATCTAGATTCTAGATCTAGATCTAGATCTATATCTCTAGATCTAGATCTATATCTCTAGATCTAGATCTAGATCTAGATCTAGATCCTAGATCTAGATTAGATCTACTTTTACTTTTAGACCTCGTCTAGACCTCCTTACACAGATTTCCTGAAACCCTTTGTATGTAATGCAAAGGCTTTTTTCAGAAAACATGGGAACAAGTCCTGGAATAAACTCTTCATATGGCATCTTATCCGAACTCGCGAGAAAATGTTACTCTTCGTCTTCACACTTCACATCAAAAGTTCCCTGGAAAGAAGTTGGAACTCGCGCTTAGCCTGCGTTGTTTTTATTTGGCCCCTACTTTCGATTTTCGATTCCGTGATTGCCAGATTTTTTCACAGTGTATAAAATTATACCAGCCTCTTTTCATGTTTTTAATATAGCCAGGGCACTGAGGAGCTCTATGCTTCATTCTTGTTTTCTTCTTTTTCATAGTCAATATTTTTGCAACTCTGAAACAATGAATCAAAGCTAAAGAGCTTAAAAGAAACATTTTCGACATTCGAAGTATAAAAGCAACTTGTTCTATGTGGCAGAATACCAGTCCCCTGCGAGAGCCAATCGTTAAAGCGATTGATATTCTAGCCAATCAAGATCGGAAATGATATGCAATCGTAAACAAAATTCTAAAAATAAGTTTAGCTCGCGCAAGCTACCCATGTTCGAAGTGGATGAGGGTTCCACACATGTCGTCAAGGAAGCGCGTGGCTGTGTGAGTGGTCTGTTACCCTGAATATTATATTCTGCTTGGAGTATAAAAGAGCGATACCCCCACCTTTCCAAGATGTGTGATCACTCCCGACCTACTGTGCCAGACCCAGACGTCGAGCTCGAGGAAACGCTTCGTCGGTTGACTTTCGTGAGACAGACAAGCCTTAGTTCGGGTTACGAGCGCAGTGATAAAAACACAGCAGGCTTATCAGATTCTCAAACGCCAGGACAGTCACCAAGAAAAGGGCTTAGGTCGCGCTCGTTTTCTCACGATTCGTACAAATCCAGCATGCAACAACAAGACATGAATGGTCATATTTCAACTGCTTCTGCTGAACATCACACCAAAATGACGAATGGGGCAGATCCTAGGCCTATCACTTCGAACGGCGTCGCTGCAGCAGAGGTAAATGAAGATGAAATTGTCGATGAGATGGCATCACAGTACAAACAAATAATAACACATCTTGGAGAAGACCCCACTCGGCAAGGTCTGTTGAAAACACCACAGCGGGCTGCTAAGGCTATGATGTTCTTCACGAAAGGTTACAAAGAAAACATAGCTGGTAAGTCCGTTCAGATTAAACTACCGTACTGCACAAATAGTTGTTTTTCCGTGTCATTTGACGTCGTACCATTAGTCAGTGACAGAGTTTTTTTTTTTTTTGGTTTTTTTTTTTGGGGGGGGGGGGGGGGGGGGCTTTAATTTACAACTTGTTTACATAAGAGGGTCTCTCCCACTGGTCCCGGATATTGTAGCCAACTTCGAAGCAAGCAAGAGGGCTAAATGCAAATCGGATTTTATTAGTGCGATCCCTTGTTTTTCAATCTGTAATCTGTCTTTTTATGGCGGTATCAGAGTTCGTCCGCACTTTATTCCCGAAAACTAAGTTTTCCAGTTTCTGGTAGTTTCCAAATAACAATGCAATCCATTATATTGACAGTCGAGTAGATAGGCTACAAATTGAACTTTTTAAAAAAATATTAGAGCCTGATTAACATTATACACAAGCCCCCTCTCTCTCTCTCTCTCTCTCTCTCTCCAACCCCCCCCCCGTTTCGTCATCTTATTGTGTCAGATTTTTCTATCATCTACTAACTGCTGATCGGCAAATACATCGCCCCAAGCGAACTTAAAATTTTTAAAAATCGATCTCAAGCAATGCTCAGGTTGCGAGTTAAGTATTTGTTTCCTCAAAGTCTACTTCCTTAATTGTACGAATTTATTTTTTTAAAGTTGCTTTTATGTAGTTTTTATATCCGCCTGCTATCGTTGGAAAAGTTAAAGAACCAGCAAGTTGCTTTCTTGAAAAACAAAAACATTACAACCTGTGCTTGTATTGAGTCTCAGAGCACGTGAACACCAGATATGGTATTGTTGTATATTTTAAACATCTGTCTTTTTATCTTCCTGCTTCTCTCTCTCTCTCTCTCTCTCTCTCTCTCTCTCTCTCTCTCTCTCTCTCT